GAGAGTAGAATCACTCGCTGTGTGTGTGTGTGGTGGTGGTGGGGGGGGGGGTTGGGTGCACGTGGTCCAGTGCCCCTATCCCATAAATGCTACACAAAGGACTATAGGCCCTACTTGGTGGAACACATATTTCACAAGACAGCATTAAAAGCTGAATGTTCGCAGTAAACTTACTCTAACATTGCTAGCTGAATCCTAATTAGACTAGGACTGAAGAAATGGATTCTGTAAATGGTAATTGGTAACGAATGGAATACACATTCTTTTGCTACTGTGGCATTACCTTCACTTTTTGCTGCGGAAACCATGACAATTTCTCAGCCCATGTTGGCAAAATGAATTGCACAAGTCTGCTGGACTTTCTTACGAACGCCACGGCTCTAGATAGATATATTTGGCGTGCTCTTTTGGGTGCACACAGAGCAGAATCACTCGCTGTGTTATTGAAACTGGCCGGCCTTCTGTTTCCTGCCCTTCACATGATGCAGCGTATGACCTAGTTTCTTCGTGCTACTTTAACTTCGGTAGGTTCCGTGAGCTCCCGAGTATTTACATGATACGTCACACATTTAGTAGTCACTGTCTTGTTCTGTGGTCCGCAGACACCACCAGGCGTTCCATTAGTTTGAGTAGAATTGAGAGTAACACGACATCGTAAAACATTAGGTCTACACTTCCGCGTCATTTTTCCGTTGAAGTACAGGCCTAGAGTCATAACCTACTGTTCAAGGCGATGCAATAGAGTCTCTCAATGAAAACTTTCTTTACTTTTCTTGGAAAAGGAAAAAAAATGAATAAATTAGCCCTACTATGTAATGTTTTCCCCACGTCTTTTCCTTTCTCCTATCTCGACCTTGCTTATTGCACCAATTTGGCATTTTGTTGATATTCTGATATACATGTAGGCCTATACACATCAGAAGGATAGTAGGCCTCTATTGTAGGGCCCAAATTGAGCAACCAGTAATTTATTTTAAAAGCTTCGATCTCTAGAGCCCGCCAGATTGTCCTATAAAGCTAAAAGTTGCTTGGGCCTATCAGCCTTTAAGATATATAAGAAGTATTTTGGAATGAGTGAGTGAGTAGGCCTACCTCTCTTAATACTAGGCCTATTATTATTATTATTATTATTATTATTATTATTAACTATTTATTCATTTTTTTTTCTTTTTGCTATCAAAGTAGATGTGCAGGAGCTGGGAAAGGACGAGGACCATATACGTACTCGGTAGGACCGGTGCGGGTGGAGGCGTGTTATGCGCTTAGGCGGCCCATGAGAAGGGACAGAGCCAAAAGCCGCCTAAGCGCATAACACGCCTCCACCCGCACCGGTCCTACCGAGTACGTATATGGTCCTCGTCCTTTCCCAGCTCCTGCACATCTACTTTGATAGCATCCACATTTTTTTCTTCAGCCTCCTTCGTTTTCTCTTTCACGCTGGTTTCTTTGCTAGCATTCTTTGTCCCACTTATGTTTCTTCCCTCCTTCTGATATTCCCCACCAGCGCAGCCTCCACTTCTTTGCTCTCTCACCAAGCCTTGTCGACGTCGTCCCTAGATCTCCCACACCTTCTCATTTCTTCCTGTTTTTGCGTGTTATTCTTAATGAAAAATGTAGCATCTTCATCTAAGCACATTCCATTACTTACGTTAGTTGAATGAAATCAGGAGTTGGAATGCATGTACGTTTCCGCTGACCTTCCTCGCAAAGCTTATGTGTTAGAAAACGGTCGTCCGTCATTTTTGAAAGTAGGCCCAAATAAAAGGTAAACTTGTGACTCAGAAAGTTAATTATCCATTAAAAAATGACAGGTCCGACGGATTTAAAATTGAAGTATGACCAAATCGTTATAGATTAAAAAAATTAAATGGCTTTTAGTCTTCTTCTTTTTAACTTATAAATTTGTGAAAAAATACCAGTCATAACTGGCAGTGAAGTAGTAGGGCCTACGCGTAGCAGAAATCACATGCACTGATACAATGTATTTGCCTTATTTTTTTTTTCAGGGGGAAGTGGGGGAAGGGTAGTTTTTATTTTCATTTGTAAACGACGTAGCATTGCCTACTTTGTAAATGAATCAACAGGACGGTCATGTATACAAAAGCTCTTTTTTATAAAGCATGTTCAAATTGGAAACAAGAGGCATTTTAAGATTAAAATCGCGTTACAAGACTTGGCAAAATTTCGTTCACTAGGTAATAGGATAAGAGGGGCGGTTTCTTCTCAGCCTACAAATAAAGCAACGCAGCTGCGTTCAAGATATATTAATCCCTGTTAATTTACGGCCCATTTGTCTTAAGATGATGAGACAAGACACGAGAACATCGCATATCACCCGCTTTTATTTGAAATTTATGTTTTCTACGGTACTTCAATGACATGACATAACTGAAAACTTCCAGGGACCATGATATATGGTTGCATACCGTAACCATTACGAATCTTAACTGGTTTAGTTATAGTTTTATTAATCATCTCAGAAGGCACGATGCATTTTCGCGCACGTAAGAACACGTAAACAGACAGTGTCGATGAAGTTAATTAAAACTGAACGTATTTGTGACTTTACGTTTTGAGTTATAGCCAGGCTAGGCGATCTTTTATTTTTAGACGTACTTTTAAACACGAGAATAAATGAGAAAACGTGTTGGATTGGACGAATAGATTTATTTCGTAGAGTGGGCATGATTGAAAAATGATGCGTGCAATGAATTTGACCATACATCACAATGTTACAATGCAGGTTTAGCGTTAAAATGACCAAGTCCTGTGCTTGGTACGAGGTTTCTCTACAATCTAAACAACATCACTTCCTTGGTACTGTGTGCGATGTCGCCGACCGATTATGACAATGATGCTGTTTGTTCCGTTCCCACTGTTAAACAGGTAAAACTTGCTCAGATCACCATATAATGTAAATGAATAAAAAAAGAAAGAATCACAAAACATCACAAAAAAGGAATAGTGTAGATTTACATATTTCTTTTTCACTTTTTTGCTAATGTCGTAGAAAAAGCTATCATTCACCCCCCCCCCCCCCCNGCTATCATTCCCCCCCCCCCCCCCCACCTTGTGTTTCATATTCGATTCTGCAGTCTTCGTTGCCCCTTTGTGGCCAGGGGTTAGTTACACAGGGGAATTTAAGCCCGAAAATTGGTCTAAAATTTTAGAACTAAATAATTTCTCTATTCCGGTTCAAGATACGTACAGTCCACTTGAATAAAATTAGTTTTGGCCTGAAACATTAATCATGTCTTTCTTGCTATAAAAACAGGCGCAATATTTCATTTAATTGAACTCTTAGTGATTTATCTAAGGTCTGCGCATCTGCGCAGACCAAATTTTAAGGTTAGTTTATTTTGTAAATTGGCGGCGACGAGAGTATATATAATTGGAGAAGTCACCGTCAGTTTTTTAGGAATGAGGGTGTTGCTCCACAATATATATATACCCAATACATACGATGGTCATAAAAATGTCTTATCAAATTCAATCAGTTCTTCAAAATTTAAGACCACTGGTCGCAGCCAAAATCGTTCTAACTACGTAAAAATGGCGTTAAGCTAACGTCCAGAAAGTAATCGGTGTGATTGCAAATCGAACCACCGGAGCACGCTGACAAGCTTGCCCCATCTCCAAATTAACACATAATGGGCTCATTAAATAAAGGGTTAGAAGAAAATTAAATGTGTTTTTTTTTCAAAAGTGAACCGAAAAACAGTTTAAGTACAAAAGAGTGCTGCACGCAGTCTTCCTTTTATGACATTTGGACGTTTATCATTGTCCCACAAGTCTTATAATAACCGTTTTAAATATCATTGCGTCGCATTTTATTTTTTCAGCGTTTCGTAAATTAAAAAGATTAAAGTGTCAGTGATAGATGACTGGAGAGACGATGACTGCACAAGAAAAAATAAATTATCTTAAAACAGAATGAGATGTTTGCAAAAAATAGATTAAAGAATAAGGAAGTGCTGCATCAGAACGCCAACTTGAACGTGATCAATCACTCGACGGCTGTGGCGTATATAAGGCTGCTTGCTCTAACGGCAACCCATCTGCTTTTGACTCTTCAAAACAGTCGAGAAATCGTAAAATGGCTACCAAGTTCCTTTGCCTCCTGTTCTTGGGCCTTGTCGCCCTTCAGATGGTGTCTGCCGCCGGTTACTACGGCGTTGGAGCCCTTTACGGTAGGGGTCTTTACGGCAAGGGTCTTTACGGCTACGGTGGTTACGGCTACGGCGGCTACGGCGGCTACGGCGGTTACGGCGGCTACGGTTACGGTGGTAAATATGGGGGCTATGGCGGCTACGCTGCTTACCCCTACGGCTACGGCGGTAAACTCGGCTAAACGGTGAGTATACTCCTTATAATGTGAGTTTGTGCGATTATGATAGCTTTCAAGAGGGAGGGATGGGGTGGAGGGAGGCACTGGACCACATGCCCACCCCATTAGTCTTGGATATACCCCTCCTACGTCTCCTTCCCCCTCCCTCAAATCTGTATAGCAGGCTAAATGAGAAAAAACATGACACTTTGTCAACCTCTCAACACACACACACACACACACCAAAAAAAAATAATAATAAATAAAGCCTTGTGAGGTAAAGCTTAAATTCCGCGTAGGAAGTGAAAAGTTCAAACTTATGATCAATTTTTTTTTTTTTTTTTTTTTTTTTTTTTTTTTTTTTTGTGAAAAGGTTTAAATTTGTGATCAATATGTTTTGGTTTTGTGGAAGAGGGTAAATTTTATTGGCTTATATAGACTCTCTACAAAATGGTGGGTCAAAAATGTGCAGCTTCCAGGAAAATGTTTGAGGGGAGGGGTTGCAAATGGTAGTGCAAGTATGTCTCTTATAATATTTCAACCCTTGTTACATTGTAAAAATAAAGATAGACATCATAGACATTCTCGTACACGTATACATTTTGGATCGGCAGCAATTTCAATCTTTAAAGCTTCACCAATGATTGTTCAGGGCACATTTAATATATCTAATTAAGAAATAAATGATGTAAATGAAAAATGTAAAAGTTCATATGATAAGGGCGCTTACGGTAACAGTTTTTGTCTTTACTCAAAACACGTTGAAAGGCCTTGGGTATGATTAAAATGACAATTCATATTCATGATGCCGTGCAAAGGAAATATTATTTGGAGGGAGAGAGGGTAAATTATCATCTACCAGGGCCTCAGATTATGAGTACTCTCTAACGCACAGTGCAGAGAAGTGTCATAGATTTACTAGTGACATATCTGTGAACATCTCGTGAAAACTCAATCTGTGGCCCTGGTAGAGGGCGAGTTAAGTACTCTTCTCCTTGGTTTCTTTTCCAATTTGATTATCTTCATAAGCAAATGCAATTCTCTCCTGCAGATTCCTCAACGACTGGTCCACCAGAGGCACTTGGTAGCAGGAGCTTCAGACGGAAAAGCAAGACTTCTGACATTACACTACAAGTACAGCAGTGACTACGTTGGACTGCAGTTTCAGACAGTAACTCGGGATATTCAGTTCTCTCCAGACTCAGGTGAAGACACAAAGAACCATATGCAAATGGACGACGGCTTTACTCTTTGCATACATTCCTGTGAATAAACATTAAGAACGGTGAACATAAGTGTTGTCAACTTTTTCATGGCCATGATATCAATTGTCATGTCATCTATAGGAACTTTTCAAACGTAGTTACTCAGAACAACTCTTTCATTTGTATGAGATGTCTACGAAGTCCTAATAAACTGTTGCTACCACAATTGCTTTTCCTTTCACTTGTCTGTATAAATATTATTTAATCATTATTTCCCATGTTAAAAAAAGTACAATTTTGTTCTTAATTTTAACGCGTAAAACTGTTTATCAAAACGGATTTGTATCATGTCTCCGTATACTTTCTGTATTAAACAATATCGATCTCACCACTTCCTATATCCTGCTCAAACTTTGTTCAAACGCATCTACTAAATTGTTTGCTGAAATTGGTTCGGTTCAAATGAAACGCCTTCTCTCCCCATTTTGTGCAGCCTTGCCTGATCTTGTACGTTTGTAGCCATTAATCTAGTTTTAATATTCAAAACATTGGGTTCTTAAGACACATAAGACTTAACAATCACGAAATTCTCCCTTTTGATGTAAACAGACCTGTTCTTATCTTAAATAGCGAGATGCATTCCTTTAAAAAAATAATTGTGATCTTTATCTCAAAAATTGCATTTTTTTCTTAATGTGAAACTGCCAGGAACGAGTATCCATGTAAACAGCCCATGCCACACGAAAAAGAATATATGCTTTTTCTCCCACTCCTCTCTTTCTTTTCTCTCTCTCTCTCTCTCATTCTCTCTCTCTCTTTCTTACGCGTGCGAGCGTGTACATTGAGCTTATTTTAGCAGATAGTCAATAAAGCTTTAGTAGGTTAGTGAATCAGCAAACAACAGATTGAAGTTATACAAAGACTTGATTGATACTAAAACAAACGAAATGTTGATGTTATTAAAAGAAATTATTGATAATGAAACTGTATAAAATATGCGTACAGTTAGATCCGTCAGACAAAGGTTTCTAAAAAGGGAATATGTGTTGCAAAAACTATGTTACAAGTTTGAGTGATTTTCATTCTTTTGAATGCGGCTAAAAG